GACTTTTTTCTATTCTAAATTCAATTGAAATAGCAAGTTTCACAATATAAAAAAGATCGACGATCGATTTTGTCACAAGTGATAAAACGAATGTCCACTATGCTCCCCTAGATAATATCATACCATGAATGTGATGTAGTATAATTAAAATAATGAATTGTTTTATTAAATAGTGATCCAACGCAATCCATCATGGATGTTCCCTCCGTTAACTCATCAATATTAAAAACGAATTCCCATAAGATGTATTCCCCTAGCAGTTTAAAAAATGACCTCATTAAAAGATTTCTGGAATTATTTGCAACATGTTGATCAAGAGACCTTTCGATTTCTTCTAGACTATCTCATTGAAAACCCTGATAAAATAAAATATGATAAATATAAAAACTAGAAATATAACATAAAACTTAATCCACAAACCTTTTTATTTTCTTTCACAAATTCAATTATTTCTTTTGGAATTGTAAGTTTTTTGAAACTTGAGGCAACACGCGTCCATATATTGATAATTTCATCTGAACTTAGGAAATTAATATAAGTTTGTTCATTTTTTTGTTGAAAATAAAAAACAGAAGATGCACTAAGTATACTGTGAATGCTTTTCTCAGATGGACGACTAACTCCACTAGGTAATTGTTGAAGAATATGCTGTTGCCATTTAAGCAACTTGATATCCAAAAGATCTAAATTTTCTCCATTTTTTTCCATAGACTCCGAAATCAATTCTTGCACTCGTGATATGTGAGAGGATTCAAAAAACAATATGGGACCTTCCTGCATGCAAATAATATATATTATAAGCTCATTTCTTCATTGAATGTTATTTAACAATTTCATACCTCGAATTCCTCATCATCAGAATCTAGTTCTATATATGATGGTCTATTCTGAATGGATAAATTCACAAAGTTTGTAAATACAAATAAGAAGCGAAAATTCCAATAATTTAAAAGCTTATTATGTCATTACCTTTTTTGCTAATCTTTCATCTCAATCACTCCCAATACTTTTTTCAGAAACTGTTGAATTACTGATATTAATTGTCTCATGTTAGTCTACGCTCATTATTTTATATATATATAGAATGACGACGTGTTTCAATATTGCACCACCAACATTCTTTTAACAAACACTTACCTGCTTTTTATTTCTCCTTTATTGTTTTTTCTATTTCTTTTATTATCAATAGTTTTATTATTAGAAACATTGCTAGACCTTGTTTTAATGAAAATAAGCTTTAGTCTTCACTTACCTGCCAAGTGCCTCCCCTTTGTTATTTTCTTTGTTTCGCTTCTTGTTGCTACAATTATACATTATAAAAGAAAAAGTTTATTATTTGATCGACTTGTACACATTAATTATTTATCTTATTGGTTTTTTTATGTTGTACAAAAATTTTTTTTTGGGGACAGACGCGAATTGATTTTTTTTTTTCTTTTTTTTGGAAAAACAATTTATTTTTGACAGATCCAAGGTGACAAAATGTGAGTGCTGTTGTTTGGTTTGGTTCTCCTAAAGAAGACGTGTTAATAACTAACCAGAGGTACTATTTTTTATTTGATAAATGTATTGATATATATATTTTTATTTTGGTTTATAAATATTTTAATTGGAATCAAAACGCGGAGCAGATCTTACAGGGTAATTATAAGATTCTTATCAAGATGATAACGAATGAATGATTGGTATTTTGCTTTGCGTAATCGTAGTAATATTATTAAAAATATATAATTGCAAGAAGATGTCAAGGCAGCAGCACACCGTTGAAAAAGAAACATTTCAATATGCAATGTTTGATTATCGAAAATTAGCAGATGTTGAAGCACACACGCTACCTTGAACATTACAGTCATTCTCTCATGTTCCTCATGTGCACAAGGCTAATCTGACTTGCGACCCCTCGATGATACAATGATGCAACTGAATTCCAGGGGAGGGACGCAATGCCCTGGAGTTTACTGAGACTGCATCAATCGTCAATGACGTTTTCACTAATCTTTTCTCACAGCACCCAGACTGCTGCCACATTAGCCAAAAAGTTGCCTGCAATGATCCACTTCTAGGGTAAGGATGACTCTGCGACCAAGCTGCAACTCTAGAGGTTGTAGCATTTTGAAGAGTTGTGTGCATAAACATCCAGATCCATCAAAGCAACAAGAATTTGCAACTCGTTTCAAGCACAGGAGGTTGCAATTCAGAGCAGGGTTGGTGGCCCTGAAATTGCATTTGGGCTCTATGGTTTTACGGTTTACAACTTTTATGACTTTGTCATCCCGAATTGCCATAATTCAGGTAAAATGGTTCAGATTTTGTTTGGTATGTTTAAGACTCCACATGAGCCAGCTCACAAGCCAGCTTGTGAGGTGCCTTAGGTATGTTGTATATAAATTAATCATTTTTCCAAATTTTCTGTTTCTTTAATTTTTATTTGACCAACTGAATTTGTTATTTAAATGGGGGTAGGGTTGTTGGTGAGTAGGTGCACCACCAACAAGACAGCAACCCAAGACTCAAAACTCTGAATCCAAAACAACAACCCAGGTTGTAACCTCCAGAATTGGAGAATTTTCAATCAGGTGCAAATGCAAACTTTATTCTAGTGAGAAGTCTATAACACAAAGCAATCATCACACAAGCACCAGCTATCAGTGATCAATGCCCATATGGTGACATCCAAGTCTGGTCTGAGAGGAAGATAAGGGAATGTTTTTGTCCAAAGCCTTCCAACATGTTCAACCTGCCCCTACTTGTGGAAAAAATTACATAATGCTAAGGGTGTGCAATTGCATGCGATTGCATGTTTGTGATAGGAAAATTCAATTAAATCTGACACTGTGATCAACATTAGATTTATTATTCATAAGAAACTATACAATGGAAACTATAATATATTTTTTTGATCCTCCCTATTTATCTATTCTTGTGAACCGGGTAGACACATTATTAAAAGTTTCATTTTTGCATGACCTTGGTATCATTACTACCTGGGTGATGCAATTGTTTGTTATGTCAATGATGATATCAAATGTATTGAATAATAATC